GTTTTTCTTTAGTTAGCTGATTGGTTCTTGCCATAATATGAATTTTAACAGTTGTCCAATAGGGCTGTCGGCTGGGTATTAACCTGACTTCTGCACAACACAACTGATGGTCCCAACCCCATTGATAAAGCAAGAAATTCCACTAATTAACCCTGATAAGGCACACCTGTGAAGTGGAAACCATTTTAGGTGACTACCTCTTGAAGCTCATGGAGAGAATGCCAAGAGTGTGCAAAGCAGTAATCAGAGCAAAGGGTGGCTATTTTGAAGAAACTAGAATATAAAACATGTTTTCAGTTATTTCAGCACTCAATATGCTGCTATTGGACAGTGCATGGACACTCACCCTCTTGCGATTGGACTTTGAACTTATCCCACAGTAGTGGTACGTGAGGCACTTTAGTACTACGGTATTCCACCCTGCAACACTAGTGACATCAGCCAATACTGTATGTAGTTTTTAGATGTGAAAAGTTCTAGACCCATGCAAATTAGTTCCGGAATGCACCAGGGCCTTTTCTGAAAAGATCCTGGTATGCGTTCCAGTACGTTCCGGCTCAAATTAAGCACTGTATATATATATATATATACATATATATATATATATATATCCACAGTAGATTCTTTAAATAACTCCAAATAAACCACATGGTTGGATTATGTAAAAGTTCAATTAACAGCGGTTACAGTTCAAGAAGTGTTGATGAAGATGAAGACTTGACATGTACTCATAGTACGACTTAAAGTTTATTATTAATAACTGCTGATGGCAGTATGTAATGTATGTTTGTGACATGTATGTTAAAGCAATCTATAAACACTTAAAATTGATGAGTCTATATAAAACAATGCCCTTTGATGGTCATTTACAAGGTGCCATGTGTGTACACATGGTATACAGGCAAGCTGTAACCATGGTAACAACAATAGTATGACAAAGACAAACTCACTGGCTCAGTACATTAGCTGCATCAGGATCTGATCTGCTTTGAACCAATACAGTCTATCATTCAGAAATAAAAACGGGCTGGTTTCACCAACAGGGCCTTCATCTGGTCTTAAGATAAGTCCATCATAACTTGGTGTTCTTGGTCTGATCTAATATAGACACGCAGGGTGCACCAACTAGGTTTAAGTCTTCTACTCGGTAAGACCAGGCATAAATCTTAAGCCTAGTCAGGAGCAGGCGTAAGGGCAAGTCAAGATACAAGATGCAAATTAGATCTCTATGGATTTCTGTGTTGCAAAATGGCTTGCAGTTGATGGAAAAAAAATGATGCATTACTGTTATTGTCACTTACCCGAAACAGAATCAGATACATCTCAACCTCAGCAATCCGGCGACCTACACAGGCTCTCACTCCGAAGCCAAATGGGAGGGAACCAAAGGGGTTTGGCCTTTTATGGCCATCACGTAGCCATCTCTCTGGCTTAAATGTGAATGGCTCTGAGAATGTGTCCTCATCATAGCTGATGGCATAGTTACAAAAACTGAAAGAGGTCTGGAGAAACAACAGTCAAGAGAGAAATTACTGAAACTCTGATCTTTGCAATAGAATGAAGTTTTGACACAAATATACACACAAAACAAGTACACAAAGTCTAATAATGGTTAAAATGCAGACCCACTTTTTTGGGAAAATGATATCCACCAATCGTGACATCCTTTTCCATAATGATCCTCGCGTTTAAAGGAACCACAGGGTACATCCTGCAAAACAAGAATTCATTATTACATTTCACTAAGTTTAGGCTTGTTGTTGCTACTGACTGACACTGGAGAAGTAACCTGAGAATACTGTAGCATGCGGGATTTGTTTCTTTCAGAGTTGAAGAGCAAACTCTCTCTAGCCTGACTTCAAGACTCAGGGATCAGAAAATTATACTGCAGGATTCAATAAGGGTCTTCCATTAGTGCTTATTTACTTCCGAATGATCTCCCAGCTGCTAAAGGGTCATTTAAAGGGTAAGTGCCAAAGTCTTTGTCCCTTTTGGTGGTCCACTTTGACTTCAATTCATCCATCTTGCCAAATAATCATTCATAAGTCATCTAAAATAGTCTGCTTCATTTAGCCGCTGATTGATTTCTCTGGTAATCATCTGCTCACCTTTCATTACATCCATTTATTTATTTGTGTGTTCATTAATTAGTAGTGTGTTATGTGTTAATATACGTAGTAGCTAATAAGTCTTTCATTGATAGAGAAATTGTGTTTTGTGTGTGAAGTATCACAAATCTTATTAAAACTTTTTAAAATATTCAACATTTTTAGCAGCTGACTAAAATGTCCTTCTCAGATTTATCGTTAAGATTCTAACATTGGTTAAAATCTGAGCGTTAAAATTAGTCAAAATCTGAGATCCTAATTTTAAAATCGGGTTGCGTCATGCACATAACAAATAAGTTCACAGATGTTCTAAATTTGAAACATGCATACAACACAAGATTTGCAAATAATCACACACTACAAGGTATTATTATTGTTCTAAAAGGAGCACAATGCACCACCTCACATGATCTCATGAGGAAGCACATGTTAACAAAATGGAGACTCTCAAGTTGTGACAACTTGCTGTAATGTTAACAGTGCTTCGCAGTGAGAAAAACAAAAGCAGAAGGCAAAACAAGTCTGGATGAGAAAATAGTTGGGGTGACACAATCCACACAGGTTGTATTTCAGTGAGAACTGGAGGTGAGATTTTGTCAGTTTTACTGTCTAATGATATATACTGTTCCACATTTTTCACTATGTGCATTGTTCAACTTTTAAATGAACCCAGTTGAATTTGGCATCAGCTTTTCAAAAACCTTAAAATATTCCACATCTTTCATACATCATTGGTATTATGCAACTTTTTCATGAGATGCATTCTAATTAAACCCATTGTCACTCCACAACTACTACTTTACCTTCTTCTTACACATTTAAGCTGGCAATACAGTGTTGCATCAGCTTTTCAACATCCAGCATTCACTTTTTTTGCCACTTCCACTGTGAAAAGTTGTGGATGGCACCAATGAACCCGCTCCTAACCATCACCCTTTTTGGTCCCCTCTGTTGGGGTACCTGTCACACTGATCTGGTACTAACAGGTGGCACTAGAAACACTGCGGCCAGTTCATTGGTCAATATCAGATGGTCACTCTGCTCAGGGCTGAGTTGTGGCAGGTATTGAAACTTAAGTAACCACTGTTCATACCATGGCAAGTCTTACATATATTAGTAACTATAACAATAGAATTAAAGGATGTTTTGCTGCCTTTCACAGCAGCTATAGTCTGGGGGAAAAAAAATCACTGGGCTGACTGCAGGCAACTTTTAAAGTTTAACGTGTACTTGTAATGTTACTCAGTGCATGAGTTGATGATGTGAATCCATTAGCACACCTTAAATTTCAATATGACAACTCTGACCATTCCATAAGTTTTTATTGTCTCTCTTGGATGACACACACTTTCAGTAATGAGTGGATCTTCAAGTGTTTAAAAATATAGATTAATTTCAAATGGATAATATGAACTGCATATATTCTAATCCTCACTTGGAGGAAAAAAAGTGTTGCAGAGCATCATACCTGTGGGCTCCAGCAACACTAAACCCCTGTGCTTGCCTTAGAAGAACTAAATGCACAAACCCATTTTTAAAAATCCCATGGAGAGAGACTCTCACTCCAGTCTGCTCTGTTTTATTCTGAAAATGTTGGCACGCAACCCTGTTCTGTGGATGATAACTAAGGTGCTGTGTCACCGGTGATGAGGAAATACAGCGAGTGCTGGATGGAGCAGTGAGTGACAACAACCCCGCCTACATTTAAGGGTACTGTCTGTGGTGGAAACGCTAAACGGAACTGGGGACTAGTTACCATGTCTGAAGGGGTACTTTTGGTTCCTAAGGTACCACAAGTGTTTGATGGAAACGGGGCTCTATAAATACACAACATGTGACAATTTATGATAGAGAGAAAAAAGTGGACCCTTAAATCTAGATCACCGTCTCTGTATAATGTCTGTACTCCTCCTCATAGACTTCAGTTCAGCTTTCAATACCATCCAGCGCCACCAGATGATCAGGAAACTCCACCACCTCAACGTCCCACCACTCCTCATCCACTGAGTAAACAGTTTCCTCGGCAACAGACCACAATCCACCAGAGTGGGCAGCACCATCTCTTCACCCTCCACCACCAACACAGGCGCCCCTCAAGGCTGTGTCCTGAGTCCCCTTTTATTCACCCTCTACACCAACGACTGCACCAGCCCCTCACACATCACTACATTCCTCAAATACTCAGATGACACTGCAGTACTTGCTTTACTCAATGACAATAACTCAGTTATAGCCTATCACAACTCCATCTCTCATCTCACACAGTGGTGCATGGACAATCATCTGCAATTAAATGTCTCTAAGACAAAAGAACTGGCCTTCAACTTGTTACGGACTAGTCAAGTCTAAGGATGTCAACAGCTCAGATGATGGGCTAGCCCTAACCTGGAGTGTGATTGAAGGAAACAAATGGAGGAAAGAACGGAAGAGCGGACTGGTTTGCCAGGCACGAGAAATAATACAGGTAGGCCAGCTTACCAGGTCCGCAGGCTAGGTGCATTCAGAGGCTGGTCAGTCAGTCCAGGCACCGCCAGCTCTGGCCGCGGCTCACGGTGAGTGGCGAGCTCCGTCCTGGCTCTTCCCAATAGTTCAGTTTTTTTGTAGTTAAAATGGATCCGAAAACAAACATAAACTGGTTTCACTCTCAAAGAGTCTGTGGCTTGGCTGGGTGGGTGTGGCTGTCGTCCTCTTCAGCGGCACTTTCAAAAATGGGGGGGACTCCTCATGACATGGAAGCAAACATTTTTCTCTGCCGCTCTCACACCTGAATCTTGTCACCTCATTAACTAACTCCAGAGGGTGCGTGTGCACCTCCATGATGTGATGTAAACAAACACACAGCTCAACCATACCTTTATTTCTCAGCGGAAACCAGTCCAAAACGTAAATGAAAGACAAGGAATAGGAAAAGAAAAGAGGAACTATAACCCCCTATCACTCCTAACAAACTCCCTCAACAGGTCAACCTCCAAGCCCACACACAACCTTGTCAGCATCAATGGTGAAGCAGTCGAGATGGTGGAGAGTCACAAATATCTTGGTATCACTCTGGACAATAAACTGAGCTTTGAACAACACACCACTGACATCCATAAACGCTGCCAACAGAGACTCTCCGCCATCTGAAAACTCAGATCACTCTCAGTTGCCCCCCACCTCCTGCTGCTACTCTACAAAAGCATTAATCAGCCCATCCTCCTCTACTGCTCACCCTGCTTCTTCTACATGCTGTCAGCCCCCAACAAGAACAGACTCACACAGATCACACACAAAGCTGCCAAGATCATCGGCCTCCCCACTCCCAATCTCTCAGATCTTAACAACACAGCCACTGCACGCAGAGCTCAGACACAGGACCCCCTCAACCCACATTTCACACTGCTTTCTTCTGGACACCGGTACAGGACACTCCCCTGGAAAAAAATCAGATTCAACAACAGCTTCATCCCCAAGGCCATCACAGAACTAAACAAAACTCTAAAACGGCAGTGACGTGTAAATGTGTCTGTGTTATACTGTATGTGTTTGAGAATCCATGTGTGTGTGGCAAATGTATGTTGTATCTGTGGGGTATGTGTATATGTCGGGTTGTCACTCAAGATGTATGGAAGCGTGAAGAAAATTTTCCTAATAGGACAAATAAACTAATCTAATCTAATCTTATATGAGTGATGGCCTCTGTGGAAACGGAATACCAACCATCATAAGTTTACACTTTAATCTGTCTAATCATTCTCACCTCAGTGTTTCTTTGATAATAGCCTTTAAATAAGGCATCTGAGTGACCTCCTCAGCAGAGGGGATCCGGTCTGCAGGCACTGATGTGGACACTTCTTTGTAAAGTTTGTCCTGGGATTGAGGGTTCTTGGACAGCAGGTACATCGTCCATGTGAGGGTATTGGAGGTCTTGATAAGAAAGAAGCACCATTAAGTAAACAAGCAGAGAGATGCATATGTGGAATTTGAGCTTATGCTTTGACACTTCACAATGATGTATTTTCACAAAGTCATTTTTGATAAACCAGGATTAGCATGAAATGTATTCAGAATAAGTCATAGCATGGCTAAGGTAGTTAAGTTTTTCAGGGGAGATTTCTTGAGGCATTTGACCTTGTAATTCTACAGCTTATTATATATAAGTGACATGAAACAAGGGAGAGACAGAATAACATGCCAGAACCAAACATATGACACTGATTTGACATTGTGTTCCACAGTCACCCAAGCCAACACAATCTGTCTTTTTCAGTGGACTTTGGTTTAAAAAAAAAAAAAAAAACTGGCTTGATTCTGGGTGTGAGCATAAATTATTAATTTATTTATTTTTCTATAGGGAAAGGGTATCACAATTACCGTGTCCACTCCAGCTAATAGGAGCTCAGTGATGCTGCCATACACATCTTTAGTGCTTAACTGAGTGTTTGAAAGTAGGTATGTTAGGTATTTCCCCTCCATATCCTGGTGGTTCTCCAAATGCTGATGAATGACCTCCATCTTCTTGTCAATCAACTGTTTAGCTAAAAAAGTGCAGTAGAAGTGTTTCATTTTAGTATTCACAAAAATTAACTCCAAGTCTTACAAAACTGAAAAATAAAACAACTTCTACTTTATTTTAATAATTAAATAAAAGATAAAAAAGTTAGACATTTTGGGAGATATGCATATTCATTTTCTTGGTGAAATTTGATACCTCTGTACACTAAAATGAAGCAACACCCAGCAGATGGTTAGCATAGTTCAGCATTAAACTGGAAACAGGGGGCACAGCTGTGTCCACAGGTAAAGAAATTAACAACTCTAAAGCTCAAAAATACACAGTTATATCTTGTTTGTTATGTCCTTACAAAAAACAGTATGAAAATACCATATGTTTTTTTTCTGGGGTTGTAAGCGGGTAATTGTCTGATGGCTGTATCAGTCACAAATCCCGCCTGATCTTTCATCCATTCAGTCATTCATACCATCCGATTTTCCCTGTCATTAACTTTCTTGTTATTTCATACCCTATCCTAATGATAGCACATCCATAACAAAGACCGTCAGATCACTGTGAGGTTTAAAGTACAACACAGCTAACACCTCAGCTGTGTTTCTCTCCTGTGCAACTCACCAAAGCTGAAGATGCCCTCCCAGCCTGCAATGTAGCGCCCCCAAAATGGCAGGAGATTGCGGCTCCACTTGGGCAACAGATGTACAGCCATGTTGTTGGAGAACATCTGGACTATAGAGTTGATGAAGTCTTGTGTCCCTGCAGGTATTTCCTTTTCCAGACACCCAAGCCTTTGCTCAAACAATATGGAGGCAATACCTGAGTGGCAAAGGTTAAGATTTAGGATAAAAAATTATCAAGAACCTGTCTACATAAGTGCTATCCCTTTACTCAAAAGGTTGAAATGTAACCAGAAAAAGCAGCTAAAATGCAGCCATATTCATTGCGTTTCAATAATTGATTCATCAATGCCAAAAACAAAGACCTAAACTTTTGTTTGACTTAAATGATTTTGTCCATTGATTTTAATAAGTGCAAAAGATTTTAAAGGTCTAGTGTGAAGGCATCACCTGGTGGTAAAAGCCATGCAGGGTATCCACAAGATCTTAACATCTTAATATCAACTGCTTAACAAGACTCTTCAAAAGAGGCTGGGACATGCTTTTTGACACATGTGCAGTGTAACTGTGGCCGTTATGTTGGAGGGTTATGGCCTTAAACTGTATATACAGTCTACAGTTCCAGCAGATGGCGTTCAAAATACAGGGGTGGTGTCCACTCAGGTGCTCTTTTGGTTGCACTATTTTTATTTTTGGGTGCCCTCAGTCTGAACGTTTTGTATATGCTGGAGTGGATGGCGGCCAATATATAGTAGAATGTTTTCATATATAAAACATCTGTTTTTGTTCTTTTATTAAGGACCTTTTCAATAATTGCAGAATTGAAATTCTCAGTCATATCTTTCTAAATATGTTTCAGACTGCAGATGCCACAATGAAACAAATCATGCTTCCCATTGTCCTATGGTGGTGCGCCAGCTATTGAGACCTTTGGAAAGTGCAGACCAGACTTTACAGGGCATGTGTTGTACCACACTGATATGAGGCAATGTGGTGCTGTGATTTCTCCTCTTTTTAACCTCCTTGCTGCTGCAATTTTATTAGCACATTTATAACATATTCTAAAATAAGGATATAGTTTTATGTGGGGTATAATCTTGTCATACAGTAGGAAATAAACAAATAATAAACCTCAGGTGACCTCTCACACCTGCATTACGTGAGTGTGTAGCTACAACTATCTTTCAGGTTTTCTACATACCCTCTAGTGCGAAATGATACATCTCATTGCCCACATTGGTCACCAAATCTCCTGTCAAGCTGCCCTGACGCAGGTAGTAGATTCTCTTGATGAAGTCTGTAACCACGTCATTGAAAACACCACCATACTGTGCAGACTCCTTTGGAAGCAGCATGCGCTTGTTGAGCATCACCCTCAGGTTGTACCACTTCTCCCCTTCCCTGAGAAAAGAAATGCAGTCACATTGAGAAACAAAATATGCACCAGTTGCCACAACATCATGACTGCCGGTATTTGTTTTTATCTTATGAGTCTAAGTGTGTGTCATCATGGAAAAATGTGGTCCTGGAGACACCTCTTGTTGTGGGAACTACCACAGAAGCCATTTAGAGTATCTATCTGCGGACAGATTTTTGTCAACACAATAACGTCAAAAGATGTAGCCACGAAACTTTACAGGTGTGTAGTTGAGAACAAAATGAAGGCCAAATGCAAAGCTGGGTGGGGTCTGAACAAGGAGGGCAGAAGCAAGGGGGTAGGAAGTAGGGAGGGAGCCATCAGCCCCCCCGACTTTGCAACCCTGGCTAACACTTGCTTTAAGTTGTGGATCGCTGTATCGCAGCTTAAGTGATTCCATTGCAAGATGGTCTCTAGTTTCTTATGCTTAATGTTTCCAAATGTGAGATTTGTATTTACCCATGTGTTTTTCTTATATGAATACTAAAAACGCCTATTTGTGGCAGTCAAAATATTGACACCAGAAATTAGTTCGACACATTGTAGGATCAACTAAGGCCCTACATTGGGAATGATATCATTAAAGAGGAGTCTTAGAGCACATCTCTTACTGTCCATATCTATGATACATTTTCCTCCCAGAAATGTTTACAATCATTTTTTTTTGTTTTCCATCATTCTTACAGAAAAAAAACCTCTTAAATTAAAATAAATAAATTTTACTAGCAGGAAGAATGTAGAGGTGCTACCAGATTAGCTGGCACAAACACCAGAATACAGTGGTGCCCCCAACAGATTTTCATCGGGCTGAAAGACATATTCCATCACCACTCTTGATTTGGAGAGATAGACAACTGTTTATGGAATGTGACAATACTGCCCTGTAACTCAAGTAAAAAAAAAAAAAAAAAAAAAATTAAAAAAAGCTATCCAATATCATACAACCAAAAGCAGCAGCGTCAAGAGCTAGTACAGTTTAATCAATCATCACTGTAATTTCCTCAAGAGCAGATCATTTAAGAGGACAGAGGAAAATCCTAGGTTGCATCTTTCTTTCACTTGCTTTCAAAACAAATGCACACACTAACCCACTAACCAGATCAAGATCTTTACAACACTAGGTGGTGGTGCTTATGGAAACACTACCTCTTTTGTCCACAGGGGCTGCAAAAATAAACACTAACTGAAAGTACCTTTTAGTTGCTTTAACCTAACCCAACAGGCAAAGAGTGTTGGAGATTTAAAGGTTCACCTTCTGGTCTGAGAGTACTCTCTTTAGAACCTCTCACGTGGCAGGACTTTGTCCTGAAAAGCCCTTATGTAAAGTTATAAAAGTTTTACAAGGGATTGTTTAGCTATGGGACAGTGGTTGCAGGGAAATGAGAAGGGAGCATTTCTGAGCACATTATACAGTATTTGGCAGTCTCACTCTGTGAAAGGCCCATAGCCGATTCCTTTCATATCGCGATACTCTTTCCAAATAGACATGTCTCCTCGGGAAGGAAACTTCTCATCATTCCTCAATACTTCCTCCAGCAGCTTTGGAGTGTTCACACATATTGCATTTGTTGGGTCTCTGAACATGGGTCCGTATCGCTGCTTGTTATAAATCTGATGGTAGACAAAATGAATGCAAGAAAGATTAGTTAACAAAGAAACCTGATGTGTAAGTAATCAGTTCAGTTCAGTTCACTGATAATCTTATAATATATGAAATAATGAGAAGAAATTGTATCCAATAAAGTTTAAATATTTGTCCCATCAATGAAATGCACTGTGTTGTATAATAAAAAAATGCACATTTATAGGACCATGGACCAGGGGGTAATTGCAATCACATCTTTATCCCTAAAGTACATTATGATCATTTTCAGCAGATCAACCAAAGCAAAGTTTTAGCCTATCAGGGCTTTCTGGAATGCACACAGATTGTAACAATCATGCATTACTGTGTGTCTTCCAGAAGCCATGCTGTGCACTGCAGCCTGCCGTACCTGTAGCTCATGAAAATGGTTGCTGAAACCCTTAAACGCGACACTGTACAATAGCTCCAAGAAAGTGATGCGTGGGAGGTCTTTCACTGTTCGAGGCTTTTCCTGGAATGCAGAGGGTTCCCTCGGGACAGAGGACGAGCTTCCCTCCCCCCTGGAGCAGACTCGGGCCACGGCATTAGGGCACAGCAGCAGCCAGCTGTTGTTCCTTCGTTTCACACTCTGGGAGAGCCATGCAGCCATGGTGAGAGCAGACTGGAAAATATGCAAGGCTTCTGTTACACCAAGAGACTAGCTGAGTAGGGAGGGGCTATGCCTTACACAGTGTTTAACCTCTCCAGTACAGCTCTCAAGGATCACCCAGAACCAAGGGCCATACAGGGCCAGTCTACCCATGCATCTGTAGTGCATAATTCAACTGCTGTAAATCCATTTTCTGTGTGATGGTTAAGTAGCAAACTATTTAATTCTGAGAAATAATAGATCAATTTATAAAATTATATGTAAATTAAAAATAGGATACCATGCTCCTGATAATCAAAACCCATTTGTTTTCGTAGGCTTTCTCCAGATGACTTAGCTTTTGGGCTGGGTATGTACTTCTTTGAAACAATTTGTAAATTTTGTCTTTAAAAGTGCTGTATAGTTAAAGTTAGCCTTTTTCAAATGTAAATACAAATAGTAACCCACAGCTACATCCAGGAAAGCTCCAACTTTGTAAAATTCCTCATGTGGTCTTGTAGCGAGATGAAAGCAACTGAAATGTGATTTAAATAAGAGATGGCAGCAGTTGAAATGTGATTTGAATAAGAGATGGCAGCAGTTGAAATGTGATTTAAAGAATAAGAGATAAAAATCAGCTGAAATGTGATTTAAATAAGAGATGAAAGCAGTTAAAATGTAATTTAAATACAAGATTAAAGCAATTGAAATGTGATTTGAAGAATGATAGACAAAAGAAGCTTACGTGTGATTTGATAAGGGATGAAAGCAATTGAAATGTGATATAAATAAGAGATGTCATCAATTGAAATGTAGAGATGAGATTAAAGCAGCTGAAATGTGATTTAAGGAAGAGTGCAAGGAAGCTGCTGAAATGAGATAAAAATAAGAGATGGAAACAATTGAAATATGATTTAAATACAAGATAAAAGCAATTTAAATGTGATTTAAAGAATAAGAGATAAAAGCTGCTGAAATGCCAGTTGGTGTATAGGCACTTGTTGTACATCATTTTCTTTTAAGCATTAATTTAATGAGTAACAAATTATTCTCAAATGAGAGTCAGAAGAGGATCAGTCCATTGGTACAGATTTATTGCAGAACTGATAGCACTGACAAAAAAGCTGGGTATGCTGGCTAAACAGTAAGAAGTCCAGTCAAAAACACTTATTCCAGCCCTCCACCTTTCTCTTATCTGGAGCTCATCCCTACCATCTCCCTCTGCAAATTATTTCCACATGTCCTCAACCATGGCTTGCTTTTTGGCTGTTTGGTCCCCTCTTGTCTGATTTTGTTTGTGCTAATGTGGCGAGGTGGAGGTGAAAGGATATAAAGCCAATACTGTTACCAAGAAAAGGGCTCGACAACACCACCCTGGGAATTTCACCCAGGGAATTACTTCTTCAATACAAGACACACAGGTTCGGTTACTCAAAGGGGCATGAGACGTAGTTCCAAGTTTTAAAAAAAAAAATACACTTTATTAAACAATCATTTTTCTTTTAAAAAAAACGTTCACACAGGGAGGGGGAAAGAACCTAATCAGGGCTGAGGCCTAGTGAGTGGACAAGGACTAGTGAAGGGGAAGGATCCACCAAAAAAAGAGAAACCAACTTAAATCACCAGGCACACGTGGCAGACACTCAGTGAAGCAACCCACTCCCAGGAACACAGCGGACAAGACGGAAGGATGGATACCACCACCAAACACCAGCACCGCCACCACCGGCCTCCAGCAACTGAAAAGGAGAATGATAAAACAAATTAACAATATACAAACAATACAATATATACAACAATATAAAAATAAACAAGCTAATAGAATATAACCCACACTCTCACACACTCATTCACTCAAAATGCGGGGGACCAAACCCCGGTTAAAAATAATGTCTCAGCCCGCGACGGGCGGACGAGCAACCGTCCTGCTCCGGACGTGAAACAGCAACAGTGCCTATGGCGGAAGCAGAACTGCGGAGCGGCTTACAGTGCCGCAGCGTGCCACCGTGCCGTGAGGACAAGCAGCAGCAGAGACAAACGGCAGACGTGATGGAGGCAAGCCGGAGACACAACAGGAGACAAAGCAGCAGCGGAGACAAAGCAGCAGCGGCCCGATAAGCTGGCTACAGTTAGCACCTAACCAAGAAAAATGCTATTAGCATGGCTAAATACACTGAACATGATGCGGTGCGTGCTACAATACACATAACATACCTTTTC